CCCCAAAACCCCAAAACCCCAAAACCCCAAAACCCCACTTTTAGTGAGTGAAATTGAAGGTTTAGGCAAGTGATGACTTGGCTTGGTCAAGCCTGACCAGGAGCCTGTAGAGCGTCTCTTCGATGCTCTCATTTTTTTGGGCGATCAGAGAGGATGTTTGGGTGATCTCGTGTAGTTTTGAGTGTGAGGCGCTTGGGGCTATAGAATAAGAGATTAGAAGGAGTTTTAGAGGAGGAAAAATTAATCATACTGTTATTTGCCTTGATCTTAAGAGTGGCCGATTGGATACTTTTAGCAGTCTTCCTAATCTTAGCGAGCCCAGGTTGGTATTTGGCCATCTCTCTGTTATATTTAAGCTTTTCCATCTCCTTGTACTCCTCAATTGTTGGGATATTAGTAGCTGAGTCTTCCTCAACTACTTTCTTTGTGGAAATCATCTTATTCTCTTTATTAAAAGCTGCAAGAATTTGCTTCTCGTTAGGCGTGAGCTTGTCATGCTTATTCTTGATATAATTCTGAATGTATTCTCGGAGGAAATCGCAAGCTGTGTTTCGCTTTATGTTCATCTCTGGGTAAACTCTGTGTACAAATTCGTAGACTCTATCTTCCTTTACTAGGGCGTCTATCATTCTCGAGGCATGCACGTTGGCTCTTTTGTAAGCTAGCAAGGCCATCTTGTCTCCAGTTTTATTTGTCCTTCCCGATAACTGTCTCAAGGTCTTTCTTGGATAGTACTAAGGCGTTGACATCTTGGAGGCACATGGCATTAGAATCTCTGAGCTGTGAGCAGAATATGTCAGAGTCCCCGAAATAAGACCCTGCTTTGTACTTATTGAAGGCAATCAGCTTGCTCTCTCCATTGATCTGGTCGTTGATATCCATATACATGGTGACTTCTCCCTCATAGAGGAATACCACCTCCATTGACTGCTCTTGTTGTCTGTAGATATAATCTTTTTCGTAAAATCTCATGGGTTTCATGCAGGGCAAGATGCTCCAAAGAAGGTTTTTCTTGGTAGCTTTGAGAAATCCGATTTTCTCAATAATCTCCATATGAGTATGGTACATTATATCAGCTCTGATGGAGATAGGGAACCCTTCAAGAAGACTCGGATCAATTACATCTAAGTCTGCCTCTTGGTTGTTGACAAAGAACCTCTTTATTTTTGCGACTGTGACTGAAGGAAGTTTTGTTCTTCGTGCAAAGTCATCAAGCGCATTGATTTTGTCCTGTAGCTTGGCAGCTTTCTCATCGATTTCGTTCATAATTGAGGAGAGGTTGCCAATGATGAATGAATAGAACCCAACTCCAAAGATCATCCAGATGCATCAGACCATTATCTCGATGTTTGTTTTGGAACCTACGTCTCCAAACCCTACTGTTGTCAATGTCTGGAAGGCCCAATAGCAAGATATTAAGTATTGTTGCCAATGATGTGAGTCTCGAATATCAACTCTGAAAACCCAAGTGTCTGGATCAAAATCTGAGAATTTGGCAAACAAGAACCAGAATCAAGTCATCAGGTGGACCAACAAGAGCGTTGCCATTGCAACTTTGATGAGCTTCATGACTCCTTCATTCATTTTGATTATTTTAATGATAGCCATGAAAGTTTTGTTGTTCTTGAAGATTTTTGACATCTTAAAGATCCTCAAAATTCTCATGAGTCTATAAAGCCTGGGAAGTCTAGCAAGTCTTAAGAGCTTATTATAGCCTCCTTCACTGTTACTTGAGATGAATAATTCAACGAGTTGGAAGGGAATTCAAGCAGTTGCATCTATGAAGAACCAGCCCTTGATGTAGGCCATGGCTATGGCCTTGAACCTGACATCTACTTGGTCATCAGGGAGCTCGACAGCACTTATGAAGTTGATCCCCAGGTCTAGGATGAACAGGAAATCTAAGAATAAACTGAAGATAAACATTCCAAGTGGGGTTTCATCAATAAATGCAGTTTGGTAGGGTACTACAATAGCAGTCCATAGCAGTAAGAAGATTATTGTGATGTTCCAGATTATTTTGAATGGAGATGTCGGCATGATACACCAGAAAGGCACCTTCTGGCTATCCTTAATCTTGATGTATCTCTCATATTTGGTATTCTTGCTTCCTCCAAATGTGTATACTCTACCTATAAAAATCAGACTTAAGACGGTTACTTTTGAGAAAGTTGAACCTGTCAATTATGAGAGCGCCCTTAGTGGCAGTCCGGATGCATTTCCCCCACAGTTCCTCTACCCGAGCTTGTTTGTCCTCCTCAGACATCATGAGGAAGGCTTTATCATTATGTTTATGCTCCTCAGCTTCTGAATAAGAGTCGCATTTCCAGTCGAAGATGTCTTCTATGCGGCTTTCATCATCGTCTTTATCTTCGTCCTTCTTTAGGAACTTATTTAGCAATTTTGAAGAATTTTGAACCTCCTGATTTTGACTTTGAGTTAGCAGTCTTTGTCTCCATTCTTCTAATAGTTGCTTTAGGCTGCAAATTCTGGCTCGGTTCAAGGGAACCTTCCTCAGGCGAGGTGTCCTTCTTCCTGTTGTTTCGCAGTGGATTCATATAATTTGGAGTCAGAGTATCCATCTTTTGAGTAGCCACTGGAGTCTTGGTTGATTTGAATGATTTCTCACCGTCTTCTTGATCTATAGGTCCTTCATCTTGCTCTTCAGCTGGTTTATCTGTTGTCCATAAAAGTTTGTCTAAATCCATTCTGACTTCTTCCTCTTTGGGCAATTGGAGGTCTCGAGGAGTGAGGTCGCCCATTTTGATGTCCTTTTGTGAGCTTTTCCGCTGTGAGTCCTCTTCACTTTCCTTTTCCACTTCATTGTACTGATCAAATATCCTGCCCATGGGGTTGCCACGTTTGTTTTGGTTTGGATTCTAAATGGGGAAATGGTTACAATTTTTGTAAGAGAAATTGTCAATAAGCTTACATTTTTGTTTATCTCTTCCTTAGCTGCTTTTTGGGCATTCCGGACAACTGCTAGATACATAGTTCAATAATTTTATAATATTTTGGGGTTTTGGGGTTTTGGGGTTTTGGGGTTTTGGGG